ACATATTAACAGAAATAAGTAATCCTAAATACCTCGTCCTAAAAGATAGGGCTATGACACTCCGTTTCTCTTTTTTGTTGGCTGTTCGCTGCCAGCGAACGTTCGTGCATTAGACCGATCCATCAAAGCCCATCTACTACTGCGCACGTATATCAATAAAAATTTCTTACCAATGCTGTTTGTCTAGCTTGCATCGGCTAATTAATTTTTGAGAAATATTTTGCTTACTGCACAGGAGATCGGCCGACCAAGGCTACTGATCTCTTGATTTTTGGGATTTTGCTAAGTACACAAGTCAAATATATCAAGGTTTTGGCTATGAGTTATATGGCTAGAATTAATCGAGGAATATCTTCGTCAACTCAGGTCGTAGTTTCACCAAAGGTAATCTCCGATTCGCCTAACCCATCCCTTGCTATTCAAAAAGTTAATGATCGTTGTGTAGATGCATCTGCTACTCCTAGTTTTGCTTCTATATAATATGCTTATAATGCTATGGAGGGGTCAACAAGTGTTTATACAGCCGATTACACATGAATCGGCTATATGCAGAACCTAACTGACGGTATGACCGGTCATGACACCGGTCTAAACGCGCCCTATGCCAGTCAGACTGTGACTACCATGGCCGGTCAGACCGTGTACTATGCCGGTCAGACCGTGCCCACCATAGCTGGTCAGACCGTGCCCTATCTTGGCTAGATCGGGCCTCCTGTGGCCGGTGTGACCGCCCACTAACCACCGGTTAGATCGGGCCATGGGCCGGTCAGATCGGGTGCTTAGCCGGTCAGACCAGGCTATCTATAGCTGGTCAATAGCTGGTCAGACCGGTTCCCTGGAAATTTCTCCAGGTTTTCATACCACGACTAGCAGTGCTGATTTTAATTATTATTCATCACCTGTTAATACTGTAGGTCATGCTACTACACATATCCCTAATGCTTATAATGATCCTAATAGAGGATATCCTCATGACATTGGATATGGCCAATATAATAATATTGTGCCACAACAACCACTTTTTAGGCCACCAAATCCACCAAGGCCTGAAACTATGGAGGATCGGACTAGGACTATTATTAGGGAAAATTTTGGTATCAAGGTAAGGAATCGTGCTAGGGTTTACCAAAAGCCGTATCCTGATTATTATGATAATGTCCCATATCCTTGTGGCTATATAGTTCCCGAATTTACTAAGTTTAATGATGAGGATAGTAGGACTACATGGGAGCATATAGGTCAATTCTTGGCGCAATGTGGTGAGGCTAGCAATTCGGATGCATTTAAATTGCGCTTGTTTTCTTATTCTTTGTCCGGTATTGCTTTTACATGGTTTACTTCTTTGTCGGCAAATTCTATTCATACTTGAGCTCAATTAGAACAAAAATTCCACGATTATTTTTACACTAGTGAAACTGAGTTTAGGTTGTCTGATTTAACATCGATTAGGCAAAAGTACAATGAATCTGTCACTGATTATATTGAGAGGTTTAGAGATGCTAAAAGTCGATGTTTTAGTTTGAATACAACTGAAAAGGATTTGGCCGACATTGCATATAATGTATTGCTTGATTCTATTAAAGAGAAATTGAATGGCCAGATATTTTTTGATGTTGATCATGTGTTGCATGAAGCTCTGGCTCAGGAAAGCCGAGTGGATGACAATAGCTTAAATGCTAGTTTAGATGATAACGCAATAACATGTATAGCCAAACCAAACGACGGTTCGGATTGTGCTAATAATTCATGCAACAATGCAATAACTAATATAGCTGAACTAAGTGTTGGTCCGGATTGTGTTGCTAGCTTAGACAATAGCACCATTGAAAATATAGCCGAACTATATGACAGTTCGGATTGTGTCACAAGCAAAAGTAAATTAGTATTGTTACCTAAGACCGAATTATAGATCGGCCATGTGGGTGTTGGAATAGATAGTGACAATGTCTTGCAGGGTAGCAGTGTAGAATCCAAAGTAGCTATGCATACATATCAAAGGCCATATCCTGAATACGTAGATTATGTCCCATACCCGCAAGGATTTGAGGTGCTCAACTTCACGAAATTCACAGGTGAAGATACTAGAACAACAATTGAGCATATCGGCCAATTTATTGAACAAATGTGGTAAGGCCAGTAGTGATGATTTACTTAAGTTAAAATTGTTTCATCTTTCTTTGTCAAACTTTGCATCTACATGGTTTAGTTTACTTCCTCCTAGTTCAATTTCTACATGGTCACAAATGGAGCATGAGTTTGATGATTATTTTAAAGATGCAAGCTTGATGGAGCAAAGACCAATTGATAATTCATCGATCACTTGTGAAACTATTTCGGTTACACCTATGCCTAAGACTGGAATGGCTAGTAATCCTCTTCCTATTAGTCCTATTGACTTTGACAACAAGAAAGTGTTGATTCGGCCTAGTCAAGCCGAATCCACGAAAGGGAAAAATGTTATTATTAGAGATCCTCGGCCCAAGACAATTAGGATTAATAATGCTAAGGCCGAAGATTATAAAGTTACAAAAGATGAGTCATCTAGTTCCAACAAGACTAAAAAGCCGAAGCTCACTGTTGAGATGCTTATGGCTAAATACAAGAAGGGATTGGCCGATCGATTTGATAATCGGCCTAGTGATTCGAAAAGACCAAGATCGTCTCCTAGGAAGAGATTTGGTCAAACGGCAAAGAAATCGGAGCCATCAACAATACCAACTCCATACAAACCTCCGGTTGTAACGCCATGGTATCCATATCCAATGTCGCTATACGGTTATCCTTTTATGTATTATATGCCGTGGATGCCTCAATCACCTATGTCGTTTCATCAAGAATGGAAGGAATCACCTAGGACAGTTCCAAGTCATTCATTTAACTCAAGACAAGACCGTTTCTCACACAAGAATCGGTCCGGTGGATCAAAGGTTAAAAAAGTAAAGAAGGTGTGGGTGAGAAAAGAAGCCAAAGCTCTGGAGGTCGTTACTACCAAGGAGGAGTCTCAAGATGTTCAAGTACCTACTGGAGATGCAACGAAATTATACAAGTGGAGAAGACTAAAGCCGATGCTGTTACTGTTAACATCGGCGGTCTGATTGAGACAGCTGGCCGGTCTGACCACCAGACTACGGCTGGTCTGACCGACTCTCCTGGCCGGTTTTACCGACGGCTTGTAGCCGGTCCGATCGGGCCTAGAGGCCGATCTGATCGGGGGGGGGGGGGCATCAGGAACGAGTCGGCGATCTGAGAACAGCATAGGAGCTTCCACTTCAACTGAAAATACCTAGAATTATCATTTTGCTCTTGGAACACAACCACAGCCGAAGTCGATACCTTCTGGCTTATCTCGCTCTCAAAAGAGGAGGCTACAACGTCTTCGAGCCATAGGTCTAAAAGAAAAGGAGGCCAAAGATGTGGAGAACAAAACATGTAATAATTTAGAGCCTCGAACATCACCTAGGCAAGTGTGGAGACTCAAAGAGGTAAAAGTTAAGAGATCGGTGATTTCCCAAAGTAGTGATAAATCCAATTTGATGAGAGAAGAATCACCGGTCATTAGAGATAAGTCTCCTTCACATGATGCTATGGGTGTTAGTGCGGTATTCATCTTGCCTTCGAAATCGCGCAATCAAGAAAGCCGATTTTGCTTGGGGGGCAAGACGTCAATATGCTTATGAAGAAATAAAGAGAGAAGAACGGCGATGGATACAACATCACATCTTTGAGCTGCCGTTTGTTGGACGCTAAGGCAAGGTATGGATTTATTGTGGTCATCATTATATTATATGCCTATGCCATGTTAAAATATTGCTTGCTATCTAGCACATGTGTTTGCTCATCAAATTGATATTATACATATATGTTGCAAATGCTAGTTCCGAGTGGTAGAATTGGCAAATTGGCATATAATTTATTTGAAGTATGATTTGGCTCATGAGTATTTGATATTTACTAAAAGCCAAATCATGCGTGTTTCTATGGATCACCATATAAGATATAGACTTCATAATTACTACACCATGAAAGTTTTGCTTCTTAGTAATTTGGCTTATGTCAACGGCCAATGTGATGATTTGTTCTAATATTGCCTAGAGTTGTTATGTTTTGGAACATTGGCCTTGTTTTAATATTTTGCATACATGCTCAAGCCGATTATTTATATTTGTAGTTTATTGTAATTCATGTGTACGAGACATATGACTTTGGTGATTCATTATTAATCACACTTCAAGTGGCTAAGTATTTTTATGCCTTAATGATTATTGTTTCAATAGCCACTTGAAACTAGTATTCATCTAGACATATTAGTTGGGTGTTATAATTTTTCATATGTCTAGAAAGAAGGAATTTTGGTTCAATAATTTGATACACCAAGCATCTGGCTATAATGTGAAAAAAATTTATATACTAAAAGCCGATGCTTGATTTCAAAAGTATGGAAGAAATTGGCAAAGTCATAGACCAGAGGCGGTCTGACCGGCTCTGCATGGCCGGTCTGATCGGGCAGACGGGGCGGTCTAACCGACATTGCGTGGCTGGTCTGACCGGTCCCAGACAGGAAGCTGGGGGCACATTACAATTGATTCAAAGGCCGAATTAATTGTGAATTCGGACATTTGTGCCCACTAGTAATCGTGCACGTGCAATGCACGTCATGTTAAACTTATTGATTCAATTTTATTAATAGTTAAAAACAACAAATTCATTCTAAACCACTAATGCTAACATGAAAAATAAGTGACAAATGAGGGACTTCTTCGGTGAAGAATAAGGAAAAAACCCTCCTTGGTCCCTTTTGTTTCCGCTACCGTCTAAAAAAAAGTTTCAGTACTCACTTCATTGAAAGAAACTTTTGCAAGTGCCACCACCAGTTAAATCATAGCAACTAATTTTATCATAAATAAGCAACTATATCCCCTCACCATAACAATTTGCAACCAGCGGATAAAAACAATAATTCAGGTAAGGGTTAAGCTAATCAACATGTTTCACTACTGCTGATCATCAAGCTACTGCTGATCATGGGAGAACAACTGGCGGAGCATGTATATCCATCCAAACAATGTTGCAGAATTTTCCTTCTAAAGGAATATATCTGCATAGAGAAATTTAGCAAGAAAATTTGCTTGCTTAAACCAAAACGTGTCCTCAAGTAAAATTGATAGAAACCTAGCTTAAAGGAAACAGCCAGTGCATTTAACCGTAATACAGAAGTAACCTCATCTGACTATTCATTGCTTTTGGTATTTCAATACCAAGAAATCAAAATTGATGATTGAAGACCAGTCTCTCTCAATGTAGCAGTTACCTTGAAAACCAAAGGAGACAATAGATTATACAACATTCACGGCATGTCTTTCCTTTAGTGAACAACATTCAAGGCTTCAAGCTTGAATAATAGTGGGAATAAATTTTAGGGAGTATACAAATATTTAAACCAAACAAAATAATTTATATTAAAGGAGAAATCAAAATCTTTGCTGCTTCTCACCTTATCCACCGAGCAGTGGTTGTCAGGTATAAACTTTGATGTCATGAATTTTTCCTTAGTAGTTCTAGAGGGAACATGAAGTTGATTGATGCCAATGCTTGTGATGAGTTCATTCACCCATGCGACCAGTAATAACTCCACAAGGTATTCTCGATGCATTATGAAATTACGTTTCGCTGGAGCTACTTCAGCTGTAAATTAGATAAATATAGTTTGGATACAAACACTCATAAAATTGTAATTTTGTGAGAGTAAACAGTTCAGAGCAACTTCAGTGAAGTCTGTCTAATTTACAAGCAAACTGAGCAAGACATTAACTACTGAGTTCCACTAAGATATGCCACTGAAACACCCAAATCGCTCAACATTGCAGAAATTGCAGAAATTCCTAGTTAACTAAAGTGCCAAGACCTAAAAGAAATTTGAATCCAAAGTAAAGGAAAGATGCATGTGATTCAATAGATCGGGAGAACCTGAGACTGAGATGTATCATGGATGGATCCCCAAATAAAGCACAGTAAGGAGGAGGGGAGGAGGACACAACTGCTCCTACCATTGGTGAGGGTCGCCGCTGGAGGTAGAGATTGAAGAGTGGCGTGCTCCCTCCGTCACGCTCACAAGTCTGGCTGGCGACTATAGTGGATCAGTGCACGACGACAATGACCGACGGCGGGGCGCGGCTCGATGAACAGAATTAAACAAATAAAATTTCTGTTGAAAATATGTCGAGTGAATTTAACATTGGCCAAACAAATTTGTCCTCGTTGCACCTGTTGACAGCTGCTGACCTGATGTTCCAAGTGGAATTTGGATAAAATTCAAAGCAATTTGATAAGCATATAATTAAGTTAAACAATCATATATAACTAAACATTAATATACAGCTAAACAATCGTAATGGCCGTATATGTAGAAAAAATGAGGTCTTGAGGTTCAGAAATTATCTCCAATCCTAGACAGCTACTATTATGTTCCTCTGTAAACTATTCAGCTTGAACTGTACATGTTGTCATATAGTGAAGCATTTGAGATCTCCAAACCTATGACAAATCAGGAGTATGGAATACAGGGAGAAAAAGCATTGAGCTGGAAGAAGCAACCATCAGCAATACAGGTTGAGATCTATTAGAAGTATATGACAAATCGCTATAAAACGGAATACAAAAATTACATTGAGCAGTAAAAAACAATTTGAGAAGCAAACCATCAAAATTTTGTGAGATCGAGATGATATCAAGATATATGAGCAGTACATACATGTGACATCTGTTCTCATCCAATTAGTTAGCTGCAAAACCGATTTGCAAATGAAGCAAAATATGGAGTGTATTGACCTGGCCTTGCAGCAGGTCCGGATGTAGAGCTTACTGCATTGACCATGGAAGTGGGCTGAGGGGAGGAGCCGATTGACCTGAATAACCCACACAATAGATGAATTGATTAATTGAGCAGTCAATTGATCGATATCCTCGCTAACAAGAAAATAGATGTAGGTGGGCATTGGGCACGCCGATGGGTAAACACATGCTACTTCTGTCCAACGACCACCGTAAACCTAAATGGTTTGCATTATGTGCGCAAATAGGATAAATCAAACAAAGACACTATAGGAGGCCGGTGCATGAACCGAACAGAAACCCCCTCAAAATCATGAGCGTAAACCCCACATTCCCCTCCATAGACCCGCAAATCAACTATCACAACTCTAATTTCGATCGGTTATCCTGAGCCCACCGAACGGCAATTGAGAATAACCGAAAACAATTTACCAGGGTAAGACCTAGCTGATTGTGTAGCTCCAGCCCTCTGGACCTATTGAAGATAACGTGCATCAAATCAAACACATGTACTGCAAATTATTATGTGAAACTGCACATACTTGATTCAATAAAATGTATAACTGCTGTGAATTATTAGTTAGATTAACCAGAGACATTCAAGTACATTTCCTCGAGATAATTCAACCACTGGAGATAGTTCACATGGTCACATGTTGTTGACATCAATAGGGGAATTAAAGTGGAATCAAAGACATGAGATCCAGTGCAGTCCGTCGCACGAGTGGAGAGGCTGTGTATTCACGTGGTGACGTGGTGAAATCGTATGGTGAAGATTTACATGATTTGAGGATGGATGGTACGGATTGATCCAGATGATTTGGCCTGTAGCATTGGAGGGGTGCAACTCCTCATTTTTATATTAGTATAGATATAGATATAGATGAGTCAGAAGTAGACTGGAAAATCCCTTTGATGGAATATTTGAAAGATTCTAGTCTTAGGGTTGATCGGGAAATTCGGTGGTAAGCATTCAAATACATTTTGCTTGATAGAGAGTTATATCGCCGAAATATAGATGGAGTGATTTTTCTAAGGTTGCTATGGGAGAAGTACGTCAAGGGATTTGCGGAAATTCATCAATTGGCCCATAAGATGAATTGGTTGCTTAGGAGAGCGGGGTTCTATTGTCCGAAAATAATCGATGATTATTTCAAATACTATAGGGGATGCACAGCTTATCAACGGTTTGGCAATGTTCAATTGGCACCTGTCGCCGTATTGAATTCTATCATCAAAACCATGGCTGTTTCGAGGTTGGGCTTTGGATTTCATTGGTCAAATTTATCCTTCGTTATTAAAAGGCGATTGGTTCGTGCAAGATGCAACAGATTACTTCACTAAGTGGGCCGAAGCCGTGCCGTTCAAGAATATTTGATGAACCCTGAGTTCCACTCGACACTCAAGGCTATTGTTGGCCCGATCTTTCGGTGAGTTGAGATAACTACGATTTGGGAGAAATGTTGACGACCCGACTACAACCGTACGAGACGTTGTGTTGCGCCTTAGCGATCGATACACCTCTCCGTGAGTTGTTGATGTTGCCGGTGCACATCAACCCTATTCCTGCAAGCAAATCAAAGAAACAAGCAAGAACAAGATAAAAGCAATATGATATTGCAAATAGGAATTTAATACAAATGATAAGTTGGGGTTCCGAAGAACAAGCAGACGGACGGTCTAGCCGACATGCGCGCTGCAAGCAAGTAGCAATGGCTAAACTTTAATCTATCAAAACCCGAGAAACCCTGAAGGTGTAACTAGCTATATATAGGGGTGGGAGGACGACCTAGGGGTGCCTAGGGTCGTGCTCCACCAGCTTGGGGCTGGGGCGCACCCCACATGGGCCCCACCTAGGCCGGGGTCCCAAATGAAGTTACAAGCCCACATGCCCATGACAAGTGATGCAGCACCTTGTTTCTTCATCTGTGGATGACTTGGATGGAATTTGGCGATGATGCCAGATCCGTTGGAAAGAGGACTCCGAGAGCTTTCCATCAAGTACTCATGGGCCGAAAACGGAGGTCGTATGCAGATTCGGCGGCCATTTGAATTCAGCAGTGTAGCATGTGGCCGAATCTGATTCCAGCACTTGGAGGACTTGATCTTGATATCATCTTATTCTTCCATGATGTGAGCAATGGTTGTATCCGTAGTAGCCATGGTCACATCATCCTCCCCTTCTTCACGGAAAACCGTCCTCAATTTTTCCATATGGTGCTCATCGCGTAGTCCATTTACAACAACCTGTTTCTTCCAATCAAAACAAGAGAAACTCGAGACAATTTGGTTAGCAATAACATTTCTCTCTAGCTTGCATGTTTTATCCACATGTACAGGAAGTTCTAAATCCGAGCAGATGTAAACTCTATGCACAAAATATATTCCAAGATCATTATATTCACCAAAGATGTGAAATATAACATTGGTTGGACATGGCAAATCAGACTTAGCAAATAATTTCTCCTTCAAATTATCGAGCTCACAAAAATCATCAAACTGAACATAGCCCAAAGTATTTAAAGAAGATCTCAATTCACGCTCCTCTGCTTCATTAGCAATGTGAACAACATGCTTAAAATCAGCGCAGTAATAATTAACAGTAGTAATAGCATGTTCATTCACTAGTTGTGGTATGGATATAAGTGAAGCATTATCACACAACTCTTCTTTATCACAAGGAACAGCAAACAAATCAACTTGTGACAAAGGAATCTCAGCAGTTGGTTCCACTAATGGTTGCTCTACTATAGCATGAAATGTGGACAAATTCAATTCATTAACAACACACTCACCTTTATTAATTTCAGCACCATTAAGTTTACCTTTGATGTCCTCTTCAGATGATGGAGGTGTCTCGAACTTGAGTGTGAACAATGGAATTGGTGGCTCTTTCATGTCTCTTTCCTCCTTTTCGTGATTACGCACTTCCTGCAAATGGTTAGTAATTGGAGGCAAAGACATAGCGTGTTTCTTTTTCATATCCTACTCTATTTTACTTTCAGCATTGCAAGCAAGTTGTAACAAATGAGAAAGAGATCTATACTTTTCACAAGCAAGCATGTCCTGAATTTCTTTGTTAAGCCCACGTAAAAACCTCAATTCTTTAGCTTCTTCGCATTCATCTAAACCACAACGTAATAAACAAGCTTGCATATCATGATAGTATGAAGTAATAGTTCTGGTATCTTGTTTTAAACATTGCAGTTTGTTGAACAAAATGTCAGCATAATACATGGGAACATAAACATTTCTGAAATATCGTTTCAGGTCTTTCCAAGATTGTGGTATTTTGTTATGCCTACAAAGATGTTTCCAATCATTAGAAGCATGTTTAATTAAAACACTAGAGGCACACATAACCTTTTGTTTCTCAGACAAGATATGCTTTTGAAATTCACTATCAACCGCTAGCTCCCAATTAATGTAAGCATGAGGATCATAGTTTCCCTCGAAATAAGGCAGTGCAGATTTGATCTTACCTAGAACATCATCACTTACCTCATAATGGTCATGTTGATCACTCCTCATGTCTTGATGAAGATGTCGATGTTGAGCACAGCTATCCCCAATTATCTTGCGTATCCCTGCCATTGTTAGTAGAAAACAAGAAATATACACAAAAATATGCGCGTTCCTATTAACTACTAGGTAGTGGCAGCTCAAAAATCACACACACTCAAGCTTTTAACCAAGCTCTTACAAGATCTTACCAATGCAAGTGGAATGGTGACATACACCGACTCAACCAAGCACCCCAATGGAGGTTGGATGTATCGATGCCTTGGCAAATACTTGCGGTATGGCTGTAATCAAATCTGTGGAGCTCTGGGTAGGCTTATATATGTAGCAAAGGAATAGCAAATGCTCAACTCAGATAATGAAAAGTTGAATAATTGTTCAAAGTCAAGTACCGTGCTGGTCCTAGGCTAGAACGTACTAGAGACGCGAGCCTAGACACAAACGATACCACAAGATAATACTAAAAACAACTCAAGCACGCTCTGATATGTGAAAGCAAACTCAAAGATACAACTGATTTTTCTCTTTTCTTTCTTTCTTTTTCTATCTTTTTCTTTCTTTCTTTTCTTTTTTTTTCTTTTTTTTGGTGCGGCTTTTGTTTTCTTTCTTTTTAGCACCTTTCTGCCTTTTTTTTCTTTTTTTTTTATTTTTTTTTCAGCAAAAACCAACTCATGGACCTTAATGCAAGATTACAAGGACTCAACTGTAAATATACAAATTACAGGGACTCAAATGCAAAAGTGCAAACCCAAAAATTTGAACTATACAAAAATGGAATGCGCTCGTCCCATAGGTTCCGTTTTTGCAAATAGATCTCGAATCCGACACTCAAAAATTTTTCACCAAGCTCTCTAGCAACTCACGGTATAGATGGAACCGAGAAGGAGATGGAGGGAGTTGGACTCGACGTGGTGGTGGGCGGCAGCGGAAGGATACTGCACGCGTCCGGATTTGCTGAGAGGAAAAAAGGAAACTGATCCAATCTACTATTTTCTTTCCAAGCACAACAAAAACCAATCTAATCTTCTCTTTCCATCCAACTCACGCGCAACACCCTCCTTCCATCCAACTCATGCGCAAGAGCACAATCGACCACGGCACAAGGCAAACCAGACCACAGAGACCAAGATGCAACTGTTAAACTGACCGACAGAAACTTCTGTAAACTACAAAAATTGAACCGTGGCAGCGAGCCGATTCCGTTTTCGTAGGTCCCGACGACAACAGAGACACGATGACGGTGACGACAGTGGTATTAAACGTGACCAGAACTCGAAACTCTAAACGGACTAAACGCTATGACCAGCAACACGACTCAACGATGTAACGCAAAACTCAACAAAGCAAAAACTGAAAAGAACAATGCAATGGCACAATATGGCTAGGTAAATGATGCAATTTTTTTTCTAGCTATTTTCTGGTTATGGGTAGATAAAAACTCACCGAGCAATGAAAGCTCTGATACCACCTAATGAACCCTGAGTTCCACTCGACACTCAAGGCTGTTGTTGGCCCGATCTTTCGGTGAGTTGAGATAACTACGATTTGGGAGAAATGTTGACGACCCGACTACAATAGTACGAGACGTTGTGTTGCGCCTTAGCGATCGATACACCTCTCCGTGAGTTGTTGATGTTG